TCACATATCGCATTGTCTTTCGCGAATCTGGCGCCGCACATCTAAAATATTTTCGAATCTCCTTTTATCCACTGGCATTAGCAATTTTCGCTAGACCGGATATTTTCAATTTAATGCAATATTTAATATCAGACACATGCGTAATTTATTATATGCCAAAATCCATATGTAGCGGACGTAATCCTTGAATACCTTTCTGCTTAAATCTTAAAATAATTTCAGGCATTAATATTGACGCGAGAGTCACGCGGATTATTTATAGCGTGGCCAACATTATTTCTCGCGACTGCATTGTTTCATATTCGTCGCGAGCCCAGCGTCGCCGACCTTTACCCGCTGCGCTACTTCGAAAGGCCATGAAACACGTCGTTCATCGCCGCAACAGATTTTATTCCGCTGGGCGCGCGCTACACGTGCCGTCTCGCCCGCCTACCTGCACGCCGGATCTCGGGATCACCTTGTTACGAATTCCACGCGATAACACCGTTAATCACGCCGATCGATCGGCCACCTTTCTTTGTCGCGCGTTTTTGTACGGCCGCGCGAAAGTATGCATGCACGGAGATATGTGTCACCGGCGACGCGTGCGCCAAATTCCACGGGCTGACAGTGGTACAGGGACCGCACATAGGACGACAGATAAAAGGTCCGCGTATGATCCCGAATCTTGTTTCTTTCGAATGAAAAATGTTATCCCGGTGCATCGTTTCTTTTGACATAAATTCCCGATATCACGTTGTCGCCGATAATCAGATTTGCCATATTGAACTAAATACGAACCGACTTCGGGATAATAAACGCGAAACGAGACACGAGTTAACACGATTGTGCAAAGAACGTCAGTTTTACTTTCGCCTGCTATACAGGGTGAGTCTTTCCATATCCGACAAAATTTTTGAGAAGGTAAAACGGATCGAGATGAACGGAAAAGTCCTGTACCATTTTGTAATTTTCGTAATAGTTAACGAGTAATTAATTATTAAAAATCGTTGTCTTAGGCCGGCCTACCGCCCAATTCGAGCGCGTGGCGAGATGTGCGCATAGCAATATCGATCGCCGAATTGGGCGGTAGGCCGGCCTAAGACAAAGATTTTTAATAATTAATTACTCGTTAACTATTACGAAAATTGCAAAATGGTACAGGACTTTTCCGTTCATCTCGATCCGTTCTACCTTCTCAAAAATTTTGTCGGATATGGAAAGACTCACCCTGTAGATGAACTATTGTCGGTTTTGGATGTGCTGCATTTCCGACGGGATCGCGGCAAGATGAAACGTTGCGAGGTAAAACGTTTGTACGGTCCCGAATTTTGTCTCTCTCTCTCTCTCTCTCTCTCGAGAAATGTTATTTCAAAACGCTGTCCCTTCCGATACGAATTTGCGAGGTCACGCTATCGTCCATGCAATCTTCGTCGACCATATTTAATTGAATACGAATATAGACTTCGGCATAAATTAACATGAAAAGAAGATCTAACGACAGATGGTTAACACGAACGTTAACACGATTATCATGTGCAAAATGTCATTTTTACTATCAAGTGTTATAGGTAAATTAATTATCGTCGTTGGATGTGGTGCATTTCCCAAGGAATTCTTTTGCTACAAATTCGCGACGTTATCGCCGATAATTAAATTTGACGACCACACCTAATTAATTAAATAAGAATACAGACTTCGGGGTACAAAAGGACGTCATAGTTAAATTGACACGATTATCACATGTGCGCAGAAAGTCGCACCTGAAATTTTATGCACTTTTCTTCCCACCGTTCCATAGATAAATTAATATCGCTCCGGATTGGAAGCGCTTGATTTCTGAGGTCCGAAAAAACGGCGTTCAATGTTGCATCGCGTTCTATAAAATCCGAATTTACGGAGTTTCGTATCGATCGGCTCTTTCTCACGCCCTGAGGAAATCTGTAACTTTTTTTTTAGTAACGCGCCAGTAATCGCAACTTGGCTAATTAGAACAATATTTTCTGGTAATTGCTTTCATTAGAATACCACGGGCGCTACCTGTTATTCTTTCTCTCGCCGCGGTGTAATGCTACAGTTACGTGTATCGATTAACGGCGCGATGGACGTAACACTGTACAGCTACTCTTTCGCTATATATCCCCGCGATAAGAACCGCGATAGCGCTTATACATGCATTAAGGAAATTGCGCCGAAGTCGCCTCCATTTCGGGGAATCGCGCGAATTTTTCAGGCCGCGATCCCCCCGGCTCGGGGCCGTCGCCCATGTAAAAATTTTTGCTTATTCGGATGCATATTCGGACGTTTGACGCATATTGTTTGGGCTCTATAAATATTTATAAAACGCGCGTCGCGTGCGCGATGAACGCATGAAAATATTTAACAAGAATTTTGTTAAATATTAGTTAGTAAAAAGGCACGAAAATATACATCCAACGCGAACGGCTTTTTCACATGTCGTTTTGTTTAACTCCGTTTGCACACACCGAGCAGTTTCCGGGCTCTCGATCAGGGGGGGGGGGCGGGGTGGAGAAAAAAAAACGTACCAGGATAAACAAGCTTTTCCCCCGATGCATTCGGTCGCGATTGCGACTGTAACGTGTGCGTTCATCTTCTGCAAATTTCTTCGGTGCATAACCGTAGGAAATACGGAGACGTTATGTATCAACGTCGGTTTGTATTTGTCTATTCTATATATATTTACTCTTCCGGAAGAGGAGGCAGGGCGAAACCTTACTGTTAGTCTTCCTTTCTAGATTCCAATCAGAAAGATTTCCTTCTTTTTTTTTTCTCGACTTTGCCACACATAATACTTGCACAAGAAAGTATCTGCATCTCAAACTTTATTCTTAAATATTCCAGCGAGATATTCCCATTCCTTCCCGATTCTTTCTGCGAGTATCTCGCTACTGGGGGGGTCCATTTAAATCTCTTGGGGGTTTTCGCGGCACGCTCGAGCGGCGCAAATTTCTGACAAAAGTCCCGCACAATGAGCGCGCGCCCGCGAATCGCATTAATGCGGGTCCAGTTCCGCATGCGGATTCCCTTAAATGCGATCATCGGTGATGACCAAACAGCGATACATTGTCGGAGCGAAGGCATGACCTACGGGCACGATATCGTTTCGCGATAGATCCAGAGCTCCAATTGTTGCGCAACGAGAGTGACGGGCGGCGTGGCACGTACGCGCCCACACACAAATAAGCGACTCATTACCCGCGAGACATTATTGCCGCGGTCGCACACACACACACACACACACACACACACACACACACACACACACACATACGCGCACACGTGCACGCAAGTCGTACGTATGACCGGCGTATCTCCCGGTCGAACTGGTTTGCGGGAGATTGTTGATCATCCTAGAACGCGGAAGAGCGGAAGTTGCCGTCCGTAAAGCCGCGCGATAATCTGCGGAATACGCGCGCGGCACAGCTGACTTAATGCACCGACAACGCGGGTGTTTAAAATTCCGATTATTACTTATCCGTTTAGAAAGGAAGGAGATACGCTTTACGGGCAGCGTATCTCGCTCTCGTATAAAGGAAACCTTCTTTCGCGACTTTTATTCGAGCTACCTGTTCTCCAAACTAAAAGTTAAAGCTTATTCGTTTTCTTGAAAAGTAACATGCTTCTTCATACGTCTATATAAATACTGACACATTCGAATAGAGCTCTAGGAAGATGAAAATTTGATTTGCAGGCCGATTCTAGCTTTAAACTTCGGGTTTGTAACTCCGACTTATTATGTTTACGTCGCGCGGATAAAAGAAAGAATGAACTATCGTCGCGTATGCGTGAGATAACAAAACGCCGCGCATTAGCGCATTGTTAAACCGATTCCGAAGTGGCTCGGCCGTGCGCACCCACAGAAAAAATTTCCGGAGCCAATGCTGTTCCACAATCAGTAACAGAAATCCTTTCCGAGGGTGCGTAGACGCCGCTAAGCAAGTCCGGAGCGAAACGACAGCGGGCGGGTAATTGGCACACCGTAAACAATACCAAATGTCCCTGTAGGCGCAGACCGATGGAAGTTACGCTCAGACAAACCGCATGTAAGCGGGATATGAGGCTGACGCGCGCGATGCAATCGTGGACGCACGTTGCATTTCCGGCCGCCCGTACGATGCGTGCGCGATATTTGCGTGCACGCTTGTATGATCCGCCTGTCACGGGCACACAAATTCGCACTCTCTCGCGGGCGCGTACCGCGTTGTACATCGCCGAATCTCCGCGCCGGTGCGCGCAGGAGTGCGAAGGCGCTAATGAAAATAACGGGTTGCGTTTCGCGCCTGTATTTAGCGTCTGATTTGATGGCGGCCGCCCAATAAAGTTTGTATTTTCAGCGCGTATTCAACATCAAAAATACCGCACTGGCTTCGCACTTTCATTAAATACAGCATTTACATCGAATGAATAAAATCGATATTTTATCGCGGTCGTATCTAGTGGAACACGCGAGGAAAACGTGGATGAATGCGTTGCGCGTATTAATAAAAAAAAATTAGTTTATATTGTATCGACGCAATGCCAGGTAACAAATGAAATGTATTCTTCCTATAGCCGATTATTATACTCGTTTTCCACTTTGTTACAATTATTCCCGCCCTCCTTTTCTCTCTCCTCTTCCGTTCGAATGTGTACGCATATTTCCTTGTTTTTAACTTTATAGAGAAAAGCGAGAGATAGTGCAATTTAAGAGAGGGCGCAGCTAAGAGGGGCAAACCCGAGGGGTAAACCGCTGAGGGCGTTGCGGTGTACAGATTTGCGGTATTATTGGGCATTTTTTGGATTTGGATTAGTTTGGGCATTATCAAGATAAAATAAGATGAAGTAAAATAAAACAAGATAAATAAGATACTAAGATACAGTTATGCCCACTGGGCATTAGTAGGCGTCGGTGTTACACGATTTTGGTCCGCGGTTTACCTCTCGGACAAATCCATGTTGAGATTCAAAACTGTACTATAGGACGCACATTTCATCTCGAGATAATCGCAAGTGTTACGTACCAGAAAAGTAATCCGACAGACCGAAGCCGAAGCCTATGTTGGTATCATCCTCCTCAGACGAATCAAATCCTCCTATTCCTCCTGTAACAAAAAAAATAATCATCTTTAGCATACGGTGCATTTTTCACGGTGAAAATCAACGTGCTTCCAAAATAAATCTTCAAATTGTAAAATACATTGAGGCTAGACAAATTATTTATATTTCAACAGAATTTTCTCCAAGCAATACATTTTAAATCTTGTATTTTCGTTTCTTTTAAATATATACTTATATTTTTTTATATAAAGACTTGTGTAGAAATAATTTATCGCTCTGTTTATTAACGGCGAAACCAGGTGGTTTTTATTCAGCTCTCTCTCAGACGCGTTACGTTTTCGCTAGCGGTTTCAACCACTTGATCGATAATAGGATTTTTGTTACCGAGACAAAAAATATTCTTGACGCATTTATATATTTCTCACAACCTCATTTAGTATAAAAATAAGACAATATCAAAGTAAAATCAATAATTCTTATTCTCCTCTATCGAATTAAAAAAGATTTGCTTACTATACACTGAGAGACCCATTTTGTTGAATGAAACGAAATAATTTTACCGAATCATTTTGTTGACTGAACATGTAATTTGGTATAAACGGTAATAAAACGGAAAATATGTTACTGAGAAGAAGTTAAATGTTGCAACAACTATTTTGTTTCCATGAGATAACAAGTTCGGCCATCTCGCCACGTCTTAAATAATTGTGTTTGTTGCGTGAACTAAATTCGCTTGTTCACTCAACCAAATTTGTGTGTTAATATAACAAAATATTCCAACTAAATTTTTTGCTGTATCAACCGAAATATTTGTTTGCCCATGTCCAAACAAAAAATTCAGTTGAGTCAACTAAATTTTGCTTCATTCAACAAAATGGGTCTCTCAGTGTATATTGAGAGTAACTTATATAAATGTAAGTTTATATATTCTTGCGTTTAAAATGCATTCGACAAAAGACGATACATACTATCATTTGATTCTAGATTTTACAATTTTTCATTTAAGATTAAAATATTCCTTTCTCTATAATAAATATGATTTATGCTATATCGATCCTATTTTGTGATACATTGAAGAGTAATAGAGTTGTATCCGGAAATTTTTTCTGTGGGTGTAGGCTCTTATAAAGTGTCGTGAGTAATTACATTATTGATATGTATGACCGTTTACTCAGTTATTCAATTTAATCGACTTCACTGTATATTTCACACATCCGTTTCGATACATTTAGATATTGAAACGATGTCGTATCGACGAGCGGATCTATTCTGCAGTTTATTGGTGAAAGGACGGTGTTATTTAAAACTTCCTTCTCACGTTCGTCGCGACGGCGCGACGACATACACGCGGGAAAAGTCATAATCGCCCGGGCAATTAGCCGCGAAATAACCATTAATTACATCATACATCATCCAATCCAGATAGCGGTGTGCTCGTGAAGGATTTCTAACGAATATTATCGACCGGCGCGGCCACGACATCTCAAATTCGTGTAAATTTTTCTGCAAAAAAATCACCCGATACGATAACATTTCACAAAAGTTTGAACGAGACGAAGGAACACGTTGCAAATAATCTCACGGATTTTCGCAAATTTTCACGTTGCTGGCCGTGCGATAGAACAAAACATTTTCCATGGAAAGTACGAGCTTCGACTGAAAAGAGATCAGTTCTGGAGTACCGTCGGGGAAATGAAAAGTTCGTCGCGCGACGAATCGATCGAGTGGCATACGTTGAAAGATCCGATAAAAGATATATTGAAAAATTAGGGGCAAGGGAAACGAGGACGAAAGTGACAATGATGTGGTGGATAAAGATGAGGATGTGACAACGATATGTTCACACCGCCGGTGCGATCGTGGCGTTTCCACCGATTATCCAATTCGGTCGTCGTCAATTCGCATTGACGGGCGGGAGTGTAGGTGTCAATTTCAGTCAATCTATTCCCCTTCTGCATGCAAGAAGCGCAGTAACGCGGAGCCGAGAAAATCCGCGAGCGTGAGCTCGCAGCTGAAAAACGGCGGCGGAGATTGATAGAGCGGCCGAAACGCCTCCGATCGCGCAAAGGGCCCCGGATCTTATCGAGTCGCGGGGTGCGGAGGGAAAAAAATCGATTCCCCGAGCGCGATATTAATTCCCAGCGAAAACGGATACGTGTCACAAATTAAATTGTTAATTCCGCGGGATTGATAAAACACACGCCGCGCGCGCGCGTATCGATCGGCCGTAAAAGCACAAATTTTCATCGCGTAAGAGATTAATAATACGTTACGAATTTATGCGTCCACTATGCATTACCGCGTTGATAAATAGTGACAATTAATTATTTACATTGCAATTCAACGTGCGAAATATATGAGTGTCTATCGGGCCCGTTGTGCTTTAATACTTTACCGATATTGTTGATTATTGCGACGCGCGGCTATTTTTGCGCTTTAATTGAGAGGACGACGGTACGCTTTTACCTCAAAAATTTAATCCGCGGCAATTTTTCGCCAGGCTCGTTATAACATTCGGGCTTTCACGGCGCGCGCGCGCGTGCGCCAAGGAGTTACATTAGTACGAAGGGCAAAATAAATATTCATATAAATGTAGACGCCGCAACGACATTAATTCTTTCTGTAAATAATTTTCAATTTATATACGCCTTATAAATTGCGTGGATTCCTTCGTGATTACGGCCCGCCCTCTCCGCCGCGCCGGTGGGTATTTCGCCGGTAAATCTAGTTGTCCGGCACCAATGTGCAAATTCTGCGTGATGGATGTAGGATAGCGCTTGAACGGCCTGCGGCACCGCGAGCGCGCTCACGGGCGTTGTTCCCCTGAGAAATTTCCGCCGGATCGATCTATCGGGTCCGCTCGTTTTTTATACCACCGCCCCTCACCCCCCGGGCCCGCCGTTTCTTCGAGTGACATTAGGCGGGCTTAATGCGGCACCGCGGTAAAAAGGGAGTAACGCGGATGCGGACGGGGGTGGTGTACGTAGTGAGTCGCGGCGTCGCGGCGCGACTGCCATTGACTGCGGAGTGAAATAGAAGTTTCGCCAGGAACGGAGGGCGAACGCGTCTCGCGAACCAAGGCCGACGAACCTCCGGGAAACCCTTTGGACCGCGCGGGGGAGTATCGAAGGGAAGAGAGAGAGCGAGAGAACGCGACGCTTGCTCGCGTCAACGAATGTTTCCGGACGAGATAATTCTGCGCGAAATTATTTCTCGAAGGGCTTTCCCGCCGTCTAGCTGTTAGAAAGAATTTTTCGGAGAGATCCTTTTCCAAATAGATTCGCCCCTGAGACTCGACGTTTTCGCAGCGTCCTCGGAAGCGGCTGGCAAACTTCCACTTCTTACGGCTGGACCAGCAGCGTGTAGCTGTCAAAAGCAGACGTACTCCGGCGGCGGAAAGAGTGACGAGTATCGTCAGATATTACCGGGGTTCCCCTCGAATTATCGCATATTTGAATTCTATTGGGATCGCGGTACTGGCTTCACGCGGCAATTCACCGAGGTACAGTTCGCGATATTCGCGCGCGATTATCAATTCTCGTAGAACCGCGCGAAGGAACGCGGCGGGAATTAGGAACGCAAACGCCCGCGAATTTCTTTATCGCCGCGGTCGATTTTCGAGCGTGCGCGAAATTTTACTTTTCTCCCCCATGTTTTTTTTATTTTGCTCCACCGAAGTTAAGCCCGACGGCAGTTTCACGACTGACGCAACTTAGCGGCCCGCCGGTTAATGAAGATTACAGTCGGGTATCAAGCCGGGGCGGTTGTTTCCGTCGTTTTTTTGAAAAAGTAACGAACCGTATTCCGAGCGGGCGAACACGATGGAGATTTGGGATGCGCAATCGTCGCCGGCCGGTCGGAATGCTTAATTGGAATGCTTATCGATCGAGCCAGCGCGTGCTGCGTTTCGATATAAGGCAATTACAGTAATTGCGGCAAAGTATTGATAGTTTTATGGGGACGTTGTATACGTTGTATTGTACGACAAATGCGCAGCTGCGCGCGCGACGGTATTCTTTGCGTTCTGATCAGCACTTGAAGGCTCGTCTCGAAACTACAGCGCACATTGTGTAAAATTTGACGGCAGGCGCACTGATGGAAAGAGAACTTTTCCTTTCCTTCTTTTCGCTCGGCGATATTCAAAACGCGTCATCTTACCGCATCGTTAAGAGTAGTTCGCTGAAGACCTGTATAGCGGCGGTTACCGCGGAAGATAATGAAGCCGTCAATCAAACGGAGTATTAATCCGATTCATCGAAATTGACGTGAATAGATGATGATTTCTATTGTTATTGCGAGCGTGTTCTCTCTCGCTCGCTCTCTCTCTCTTTCTCATCTCATATCTCTACTATTACGGATATTATCCGTTTTTAACCGTGTAGAAAAGTTTCGTAATAGGAGCCTGCGCGATAAAACCGCCGTGAAAAATGCACGCTACCGACGACGACGATGCATCAAATTAACAGCTTAACAAGTTCGCATCGAACGATAGTTAGAAATACCTGCGGATTATAAGCGATTACGGGGAACGAGGAGCAATAAAATTTCGAACCATTTCGCGCAGATTCCGGGGAAATTGCCTTTGTTTACAGCGTAATATCATATTAATGGGGCGCTTAATTAACTGGCAAGTTCGAGTATTATGCCCGCGTTATTTATAACGAAGGTATCGCGACGTTCGCCCGTTAGCGCCCGAACTCTCTCGGCTCCACGCCCTCGAACAGTGCAAATTTGTCCGGAGGGCAAAGTATTTCACTTGATCGTTCAAAGATATTCCGCGTTTCCCTTCCGCTCCACGATTATCTCGTCCAAATGGATTAATCCGCGTGGCTCGAGTCTGAAGGGAAAAACGCCCCGAAATTACAATTTTGTCTCGCGCACGACTGGACGAAATATTCTCGCTCCCCTCATTCGCGCCTTCAGGTAAATTGTGCGCCGTGTTTTCGTTAATTTAGACTTGTTTCGCCACGATGGATTTGCGCCCACCTTCGCCTCGCGTCGCGGCGAAACGGCGCGATTCTGCCGCCCGGTTTCGCGTCTCTTC